CTGCGGTTCGAGCCTGCGTATGGGACGGGGCGGCCCTCGCAGTATCCTTAGCCCACGCGTCACTGCTGATGGTTGCGTGACAGCGATGCGTCTGTACTGCATACCGACTTACTACTAATGTTTTCTTTGTTTTATCCACGAGCTTATCAAGCTCCTATTGCACAAAGGAGTGACAATTAGTCACACAACTGTCTACATTTCAAGGCTAACTGCTAATTGCAGCACCTTAACGGAACTACTTGGAGTACTAATTTACTCGGTGTACGAGTCAGTAACCTAACATCTTCGCAATAGGAGCCTCCTCTTCATGAAACCATGCATTCCATTCGTTCTCTGCTTTTTACTACTACTAACACTACCCATCATGAATAACTCTTTTGCCTTGCTCAACGGCCGACTGACGGCGCCTCCGTGCCGCTCTGGTTGGCCATCCCTGGCCCGGTTTTACTCAAACTAACGGACCGGTTTTCAAATACGAACCTATGATAAAGAAATTCAGCCTTATCAGTTGTAGCCCTCATTTCACTCATGCGTTACTACCTGATGGTGCGGAAAATGTCTTCATCAGTCGCGTTGGTTCTTGAAGCGATTTTTCCATAAAACCATTTGCAACCCGAAAGAAAATAGATATCCCTTACTCATTCAGAAGGACAATCCACCAATCAACGCACCATAACCCTCAGGGGTAAGATTGCTCACGTGATTTCGACTGCACTTCCTTCCGTCTATCTTTCCATTTCGATGCACCAAACCGATAGCAGAGGACATTTCCATACCATTAACAAAATCGGGAGGTTTAGTCTAAGGATTTTCTCCTTTACGGATCCTGCTCACACAAATGACCTCAATTTTCGGGCGGGAGTGAATCGTATGCATACAATTGTCCTCTTTTACATATTAAATCACGATCAGCTCTTTTGTCTTTCGGCCCATACACTTCTGTTGTTAGGCCAATGTAGCGTATACTACCGGCTCCGTGCTGTTCCGTTGTACGCTATTTTAACACATCAACCTGATGACCTCATCTTCATTATTCTTTACGTATGTTAGCCTGCTTAACTATTTTGCGTTGCAAGCATATTTTGTCCCCCCACTCCCTGCTTTTGTAAGCAGACATTACTTCCAATACTTTGCAGGGTTACCCGGGGGTTTCCCTGTGAGTATCAAAAGCAATCATTCAGATTGCTTTTCATCAACGAAGGCCCTAAGTATACCTATAAAGTTCGCAAATCATTATTCCATTGATGTGTACACGGACTAACGGGATATGTTTAGCAGGGCTTTATCTTCCATCGATTGCCTCAGGCTGAGGCTAATATTACAAGCATAATGCCTTTTTACCGCAGTTGGACTACACCGACTTACACATAAAGTAGGTCTCCTTAGTCTGGATAAAAATTCGTCCAATTTATATGGTTTGCTCAGTTCTGTTATTCTGCTGCATATTCCATGTCAATTTTACGTGTCTGTTTTCCTTTGAATTCTATATTGTTGTTTGCTATTCCCAGTGTGGCTGCACTCAGATGGCCAGCCGTCCCATTTGGACTTGTTTCTGGTCACTCGCAAAGACAAAAAGTAATTGTGAAAAAATAGTAATATGTCCAGGTATATTGTTCGTTATTATTATGCGTCTTCAATATCGCACTTCTTTGCCTATAAGTGTTTACTTTTTAATAAAATCGTGCTTTCTTTCAGCACCCTGAGTGACCGTTTTTATACCCCTGGATGTCACAGTTAGGACGAATTTTGGCCACTCAAAACGTTTCGGTTTAGTCCTACTGCTTTAGTATTGCATTATTATGATTTGGGAATCTATTTCCACTTATTATTAACGGTACTTGCAGCCAGAGGAAGTGAATTCACAAAATATGTTGAGGATGCATGTGAGATGTTACTGAGCTATCGAATTTTGCCCCAAACGTGTCCAACTGAGACGGCAGTAGCGTAAAAACGGTCAATCAAGGCGCTCCAATGGTCACTCCAGCGAACAGTTTTCGATCACTCGTATTGTGCGAGTAGTTGACATGGTGAACAGCCGGTTCCATTGGCGATTATTTTGTGAGTTTCTTCGCCCCCCCCCCTCATTTCGCTTATCTTTCATCTCGTACCACGCTCTCACACATGATATTTGATATAATACTAAGCCTCATATTACCTTTTTGGTTTCATATTGTGTCCTTTAACGTTTTGGACTGTTTTTCCATACCTCCTTTCTTTTTCATATTGCGGCTTATTAGCTGGAGTGTGTTTATTTCCTTCAGCCAACTTATATTGATGATGACAAGCTCGGGTACCTTTCCTTGTCACAGTGCCAAAGGGCGCTTGGGTTCACCAGATCGAAGATATCTTTTATTTCGCGGAACACAACTTGGGTCGATGGTCAGCATAAGTTGCGTTGCTACGGTAGTTGGCGCAAATTGGTGATGTGATCAATGAAGCCACGATATCGACGCCATCCTGCTTGCTGATCGCGAACCTGGCTTTCAAAGGTGCAAGTCAATATATGGAAAAAGACAAAGGCAGGCGATCGGAGTCAGATCTATACCTTTATAATTACCGCATGCTGAACGTGAACCATCCTTGCAAATCGGGAGCATAGCGGGGCAGCTTCAGCCTGTTAAAGTTTCTTATCCCACACTTTCACTAATAACTTGCAAACCGTCCACAAGGGTAGGCTCCTCGAATTTGTGGAAGTCTGTAAGAAGCTTACGTAGATCTGCGGCTTTAATCAATTTCAGTAAGTCGATCTCACGCTAGAAGAAAGAAGGGTATCAGCAGTACGCCGATACGTGCAATCACCACCAGTCGCATGTGGGTTAAGGATACTGCAAAGGTCTCCCTGCCTCTACTCAGATTTGAACCCGCGCCGTTAGATTACAGGACAAGCTCATTACCTTTAGGCTACAGGCCAACCTGCATAGGAAGACCGATCCAAAAAGACAGTTCAGAGAATAGGGCATTCTTGTAGTCGCATTCAGAGCATCTGCCTTCTCCGATTGACGAGCGTCTACGCGCTCACAGTGTCGTCGTGAGTGCCCTCTCATGTACACTTGCAGATCAACACACGCAAGTGCATGGTTGGGGTCCACGCCCAGGCTCAGAATATAGTGGTAGTTTTGCACGCAGCCTGTCCAGCGGTAACTGATCGCGATATGATGGATTTGTGTCCATGGCTGGTCTGAGGTTGGTAGGCGCCATGTAACCGCGCGACCGGTGATGTGTCGTAACTTAGCGATCCCGAGAAACAGGCGAACATTTTCACACAAATGCAACAACCGCTCACTATTGATGATGATGATTCATGGGGTCCGCTTAGATGCAACTCATCAGTGGACAATTGTTAAAATCGTCAGCTAACATTACATTATCCGCACTACTCTTGTGACGAAGGATTTCGTTCAGCTGCTGATTGAGGTCGTCTTCTTCCGTCTGTGGGGGCGCAGGCAGCAACGACAAGTAGGCACACACTGGTCCCTCGCGACTTTGAGCTCATAGACGAGCCAGCCAGCCAGAACTATACAGTGCGAAGTACATCCCGTGTCACAGAAAGTGGATTGCGGAGTGAGCACAGGGCTGGCGTCGTGTAGCTCGGTTTCCGATTAGCAACAGTTATCGATCGCATGTCCGGACAACTGGTGCTCACTGACAGATCTGAAGAGAATGTGCAAGTTGATGCATACCAGCCTTAGCTAGGATTGAGGTTTCCAAATAAAAACAGACGAACCGTGGTTATCCGCTTGATCGGACATGGACTTGTCTACTGGACTGGAATGACGCACTGCGTTTGCGGTCTAGTCGAAACCGGAAGCGAAGCAACTGACGTAACATGAAACAGGAGGGCCAAGAATTGGAGACTGAAAACGAAAGATAAGAATGAATTTGGAATAGGGGAATGAAAGGACAGGAAGACTTGAGCAGTATCATCCTCACCCCTATCCACTCCACGCAGCATATAGGACACCGTTGATAATCCGCTACGATGGCCAGAGATCATCGTATGCCTTAGGCAGAATACCATCCATTTTCCAGGTCTATACAGGTGAAGGGTTAGGGTTCTCAACCCAACCTTTATAAACTTGATAGCAAAGCATCGCGTGTTTGGCACTGGGATACGCAACGTTCGTCTTTTATGAGTGGCTCTGAAGGTGCAAAAAGTACCACTCAGCAGAGCTCAGTGAATTGTTCAGGAACGCATACCATCGCACCACTTTAAGGTCCAGTCTCGTTGCATTGTCTCCATCACACTTTGACACTAGCAGAGCAACTGATTAAAAACCAGTTAGAATCTACTCCACCCGTCAATCCAACACAACTCAGTACAGAACACAGAAGCTGAGCCCTGACCGGAAACAGATCAATCAGAAGTGTTGGCAGATCACTTCCCCGGAAGTTTCACTAGCAATGGTACCTAGCTCTGTTACGATGCATTCGCTGCCAGAATACCAACCTGAGGGCGCAATTTAAATCTCTCATCTGCACTCCGAGCTACAAGTATTCGCAACGCTTTATCAGACTGTACTTGTATCTGGCTTGATATAGCTTACTGAAGACCGTAACGAAGCTACCTCTGAGAGGGCTTTTAGAAATGCAACAGCTCATCCCTTCATTGTCATGCATCCGCATGAAGTTGTACACAGGCTGCGATACTACCGGCGAGCTCGATCGTAGGGAGGCGTGAGGACCTGATCTCGAGAAACAGCGGTTGTTAGCCATCTGCCTGAACTACAAATACCATGACTGTAAAGTGTTTGTACAGTGTAGATAGCCTTGCGTTTAATGATTTTCTTGCTGCATTTTGGCTCCAGTTTAGCCACATCTTCACCTTTCCTTTTCCACATCATTTAGGTCTTTCTTTACTCATGATTATGGGGCGGAGTCACCAGGATTACATACTGTTGTACTACTGTTGTTGCTGATGATACTATTTCGTGCACTCATATCTGCCGTGTTTTTCTTATTGTGTCAGTGATCTCGTTACTAAAGCAACGTCCTTTTTTTAGATATCTAGTCACTTTCCTGACAACTTCCACTTTGATTGACCTTTGTTCAAAGTTTTCTCATTACGTTCCGTGGACCTCTTTGGAATTACGACATCTTTAAAGAACTATGTCTGAAGGAGAGAACCAGTGCATTATTGTAAGCAATGTTTGGAAATTGGTCAGTTTTAGGTTCCTAATGATTACCCTAAACTGCCTTTGGAACGATTTACCATTCCTAAGGCTTACGAAGATTGTCTTTCGCATGTTATGCTTCCGGAGAGTGTCATCCAAGAAAGGTATTCGTCCTCTTTGCTTATTGCAAAGGATTAAACAGATGGCCATTCATTTGGTTGATAACTATACTACAGAACCTAAGTCACCCCACCTATTAACGCTGCTGTGTGTACTTAAAGGAGCATTCCGCTTCTTCTCAGATCTATTCAACGAGATGGTGGCTGTCATTGGTACCAAGCGTTCAACACTGCTCCTGGAGCTCAGCTTTGTGAGAATCCAAAGTTATATCGTATGCACATCCGAGCTTATTTTCAGCCTTATTTCTTTTAGAATGATGCTTCAGCCAACGAACCTCTTATCACTGGACTGCATGATCCAGCCGAGTTTAAAGACAAAGTAAGCCGCCACATTGTTCTCGTTTTATTACCACAGGATATTCTTGTCATAGAAGACCTAATCGACACTGGAAGATCCATGCGAGCCTTATTGACTCAGTTGGATGCTCTTCACCCCAGAAGGGTTCGTGTCGCGAGGTTGGTTTTATGTCCCGTCTACAAACTTTTGACCAAATTCAAACTAGTCATAGGATTTTCCTATCGGTCGATTTCTTATCTCTGTTTTATCTACACCTCTATGTCTCTCCGTTCGGTTATCTACACGTGAAGCCGTTCAGGTGACATGCATTGCTTTGTTTTGTACAATTCTCAACTAACAACTGGTAACCGTTTTTACATTTGTTCGCACGTTCTTTTCTCTTCCCTAGTATTGCTACACCTCGTTTGATATGTTTGGCTGTGAGAAACACTCACTATGTTGGCCTTGCGCTAACAACCGTTACACGTTTTCCGATTGTGTAGTCTTAATGCATTGCTTTATTCAGAAGACTACTCATTCCGCCATTCACCATAGGTATACTCAGGTGCGTTGATCACAATGGTATCACTGACACAGACTATTTCTATACAGTACCACCTCCAAACAACATGCTTACCTACGAGCTAGCTTGTATATTTCAACCACAATAAACCCATAAAGATAAGTGCGGTACTTATTTAGTGTTGTTCTTCTTTCTTTGACTTTATCTTGTTTTCGAACCTGTGCCTCAACTCTGCTCATACATTAGTCTGATATCGATCATTTTTGGCTTATACCGGACATTATAGCAGGCGAACCCTTGGTGGGTGATCGAGGCACATGAACCCGTCACTGTGCTCCACTTACATTATCGTAATTTGATGATCCCAGGTTTCCGATGTCATGGCTTCTATTTGTGATATCGCTTGACATCATGCCACCGTGCATTTTTTACCTGAAACGCTGATATAGCCGATGTATTTTAGAATAGATATCTTTACACCAGGCAAAGAATTACCAAAAAACGCTATTCTATTTTACTCTTCAAGCTTGACGCATGCTTTATACCCAATTCGAGGCGTCCTACTTATGCATGGATTCTTACGGCATCGATCAAGCTGATAAAGCACGGAAATACATTCTAATAAGTAGTGAGTTTCAGATTAATCTGAAACATCGGTATTGCTGGCTGAGTATTTTAAACCCACCATGGTAAATAGATGTTATCTATACCTGAAGCACAAAACTAAACGGGCATCTGTTGATGAACCTGCCCACAAGGCGCTTAAACGGAACGAGAATATGCTACTCTCTAGGTCGCATAAAAGGGCAGAGATCGTTCTTACGGTGAAGTCTGACTATATCGATAAGACGCGCGTCATCCTCAGCAAGTATCCGAAATTTAGGAGAATTGTAAGAGTAAAAGATAAGAGGGATGTGCTTAAAAAACAGTTGCAAAGCTATTGCTTTGCCTGAAAGGAGAGAATGCGGTTTACTCAATCGATTTTGATTACCTAACTGCCCTAGAGACCGTCTCTACGGTTGTCTAACGGGGTCACCGATTATAGCACAATCAATGAATAAGCATTATATTCGCACAACCAGGAAAAAGTAAAAAAACCAATAAATATGGACGAGCTATACATTTAGTGTCCAGACGTTCAAGCTCACCAGACTAACGGACACTCAGAGTAAGGCTAGCTATGGAAAGGAAATAGTGTTCCGGGGGCGAAGGACTTCAACCTTCGGGTCGCGTTCCTGATGTGTGCGTATAGCAGCAAAAGTGGTCAACATGCGATAAACAGACTGCCTAATTTTCCTAACTGCAAATGAAAATATAGTTTGGTAATATTTTGCACATCACACAAGGAAATCTCAAGATCGCTAGTTAACTGTGCTTAACTAAAGGATTTCCACTGAGACTGATATGTGACATGTGTGGTTCTTCTTATACTCAACGGCAAAGTGGCTCGCTAGGTCTCTAGAACCGATCAGAAAGTCTTCTCCAAACACAGCTTTGGAAATACTTTCAGATCCCTAGTGTTCATAAGACGTGGAGTTAACCGGAAAGAAATTCCTTTCGCTAGATATTGTATCACTACACAAATTTTCCTTTGGAAGAAATGGTTAGCTACCTATTTGATACTTTTCGATCGCATCGTATAAATGCCGGTCTCTCGAACAACCCACTTAAACAACTACTCCTGATGTGTACCAGCAACATGTAATTTCACTTCGACAAAATTATCCATAGGCGGAAACACGGAGTCGCAATGGGCTCACTGATGGTACCCCTGTTAGCAGATGTATTTATGGGTAGGTTGGAGAACAATTATCTGCACGGAGTTATCAGCAACTTAGTCTACTTCGGACGATATGTGGACGATATGTTTCGCATTTCAGATAGTCACCTCTGCACCTAATAACTACTGAGGCGATGTAATTTAGTCCATACTAACATAAAATTCATCCTTGTATCTTATTGCAATAACTTAGTGTTCTTCCTAGACGTCCAGATGAACCGAAGAGCTGGCGGGTCGATTCAGCGGTGTTCATAGAAAGGCACGTGAAACAATCAAGCTACTATTTTCCACGTGACCAGCGATAAAACCTTGTTCGATGCTTAACCGAGCGACGCAGAAGGATATGTAGCGAGAACACGCTTCCGGACGAGCCTGTTCGAGAGAAATGGCTATCCGGATAAGTTCGCTCAGAGAAATAGAGGCAAAATTGGTTTCAGTAGGAAAGAAACCGGTCTACTCATCGGCACCGTTCCAGAAAGGTAGTATAGCGGAATCGATATCTGAAAGATTTTCTGAGGCCATTGTTTAAAAACCTACTACGCAACTAGCTTACGACTAAGCTCCAACTCAGTGCTAATCCTGACGCAGCAACTTAAAAACAGAGTTGCGAGGTCAAGTACTTTTTGTCTGTACTCTTTTTCTTGCTCATGTCGACCAGGATAGCCCGGTAGGATCACCAGGTGATTTTCCGAGAGGGTCAGGGCGCATTGCCCAGCTTCGCTGTATAGCGCAGTGACTAGATCAATGGCAAGCGCAGTATCTGCAAAACTTGTCTATTCGAACCTCCATTTCAAAGCTCATGAGGCATTTTAACCCATCTACTATGTACCCAGACGCCACACACGAGCGGTTAGATGTTGTCTACTGGCATCGGCCGAAGCCATTTCCATTCGACATCATGATCCTACGGATGTGCGCATACGAACATTGTCCAGGTACTCCGTCTACCATGGCCTTCTGTACAACACACGAAGTGTGGACAACAACGCACACCCTTGCTCGTTTTGGTACGAATCACCTAGCTTGGTCACCCAAGCAATCTAAGCCTTTGAACCTGTACTCTTACCTGACTTTTACTTTTATATCATTCCTTTTTGTGTATTGGCCTAGTGAGAAACTGTTGTGTCGGACACTGGTGAAGTAGAGAGTAGGCCAATCCCAAGCAGTGAAGAACGAGCAGGGCGAGTGCGTGAAAAACCAGAGTTTATACTGAGAACAGCACGTGAACCAAACGCGAGTGAAGAATTCACACCGTACCACCTGCACTAGCCGAATGCGTGTTCGATTATGGATACTGATATCAAACCAGTTTTGGTCTGTTGATCAACATCTTTCCGGTACGTTAAGTATCAGCCCTGTTGTCCTTGGGCTCAGCTTGTTCTGGTTTTTGGGTTAGCTGGTTGATTGAACTCGACTCACCTACTCCGCTGGTTTGCGCTCAAAAAGCCGTACTCTCCTAGCGAAAACCACTGAAAATGACCTTGTTCCATCACTTTTGAAAACAAAAGTTCAGATCTGGAATATCTTTTCAGTTGAGACCTTCAAGTAATTGCATCAGAAATCACTTACTCATGAGTACCTCAAAATATCAAGCCTGCGGGTTTCCAAATGGAATTTCATACATAGCTACTGTCATTGGAGTTCATATCTTTCGGAGTCAACCCTGTCCTCTGTAACGTTCTTAAAACATATGGCAGTGGAGGTTAAGGCGCACTACATTGCAGTTAGCTAGTAAATTCTTACGGTCCACCCCTGTCCTCCATGGGTCAATCGCATAAGATACTGATAAGCGATGCAAGCCGCTAGTAGTCATGGATTCGGATCCCTATGGTTGCGCACTACTGACGAGTCCCTATTGGACGAAACGGCCGTACCGTGCATTTTTGGACATGTGGGGACTATCGGGTTTGGAAGCCGCTGCGACGGATGCACCATTAATCACTTCGAATACACGTTGGTCGACTCAGTCGACGTGCGTCGCTCGCTAACATTGTGACCGGATAGGCGAGGCAGCAGTGCCAGCAACCGAAAAGTAGTGGAGTAATTCAGGCGTACAGCTTGCTACCCACAGTCTACTGGTTCGGCATTGCGCAGGTATGAGTGACCTAGAATTATCCCCATCCCACATTCGATCTCTAGTGGTCGCGTGACAGCAGGGCGGTGATAAGTAATCTCTCTGTATATTGCTGACATTCAACTGGTGACATTGTAAAGGACTGAGCGAGTTTGATTGGACGGAGCAGTTGAGGGAGTATGTGCCATCCTCTTAGATGAACGCGTTCGTACAGGCAAAAATATGGTTTCACATTCAGTCGGAAATGGTGTAGTTGGGAAGTGAGTGGCGCACTTGTGTGCGATCCTATTCGTCCTCTTGCTGACCCTTTCCTTTTGCAACTATATCTTTTCTTCGGAGTTCATTTCCGATGGGCATGCGGTCGTTCACAGTTTCCGTTTCTAGTTACTTTTCTCTTATTAACTTTGCAGGGGGCACTTCATTATAACTGAAAAGAAAGAAAGAAAGGTGTCAGCTTATACACCGTAACGGCGCTTCGCTGCCGCGCGACCACCACTAGTCGCGCGCGGGCTGAGTATACCGCGAGGACGCCCACCCCTACGCGGATTCGAACCGGTGACCTTATGATTGGAAAGCAAACATGCCGACCACTCGGCCACCGGTCGAACAACCACTCGGCCACCGGTCGAACATTATTCATTATAACTGGATCCAATGCACTTTGATGCTTGGATCATAGTTAACCAACTTAACCATCGCATGTTCTACCATTTTTGTATTGGGAGTTAAAATGAGGCCCAGTGTACAGGGAGCGAGCGGAAGTGGTTACTATCTAGTTTCAATAACACAACTCTTTCATTCTTACTTGGCAGACCTTCACCTGTATTTTCGTCTTTGCTCCACCCATGGCCAGTATTGATCCTTGCACTGCGCTGGTTAGAGACTTGACGATATCTTATGTCCTGAGACCGAACTGGCTAACTCTCGCTACTGCTGAGCGAAACGATCTTTATCACGGCTCTGCATATACACCCTTATGTCGAAGCAACACCATTTTCTGGAACCATATGTGTCGCAGATTCACAAAAGCAGTCCTTGCTTGCTCGATACATGAGCTGGCTTCAGCAGTCGCGCACCCGTCCATGCCAATTTAGTTGTCAAGTTAAGTAACTTAAACGGCTATCCAGTTCATCGTCGTTAAGGACCATGAGTCAACCAAACGGTAAGTGTCCTTGCAACAACGGCCTGAACTTAGGAGATAAGAAACGCACGTCGAAGAGTGGAGTCACACAGGAGAGTTTGTCCATATTCGACAGTGGCGTGCTTGCTTCATTGGATCATTTCATCTTCTGCATTGATTTTACCTGAAGAGGTTTTCCTATGACGTATATAAGCATCGTGCCTGCTCTCTTCTACATGATCTTAGAGCACATCAAGGCATAAGGTGGTCTTTCGGACACTTATAACAACAGCACAACATTGCAGTCCATTTTCCCCCTTAGCTTTATTTCGCACCTCATCGTGGGGGGTGCCCTTGTGGAGTCCTACGTTACAAGCGTTGGGTTTCTGTCTAGGAGGAAACTGGCTGATCTAGATTATGCAGACGACATTATCATATTAGCTGATAAATACGATGTGCTACCACTGACCCTGGACAAACTTACGAGGGATATTGCATCTTTAGATATACGCTCAACACTTTCAAAGTGCGGGCTGCTGTTGCAGGAACACCTACCACACCATTGGATTTTGGTCCTTAACAATAAAGAACTGGATGTAGGCGGTTATTTAACCTCTCTTAACGGAACTATCCTCGATAGATATGTGACTGCTGAGATTGTGCGTCTGCGTTGCCGAAAGAATGTCCGTTTTTTATTAATGACCTTGTGTTCAGAACTGCGGTGGAGGTGCAGTTGAATTGTGCAGTCGAGTGCCAAGGGTGTATAATCAAGTTGGCCCACTTGCTCGTTAACGAGTATGGAAATGGAAAAGCTTGTTCTTCACCTATTTAAGAAAGTATAATTTTGCTTACCCAAATGCCAGGTACCGTTGGATTCGACAGGAACAACCACTGTTCCGACATCAATAAGACAGGATGCTAATGATCCGTCACGTATTCCAGGTTCTAACCCATGCTACTCACTCCGTTGCTCCACAGGAAGTATTGCGGCACATGACATGCAGTTGGATCACTGGCATGTTTGTTATCTTTTAACTCGGCCATCCGTTTAGGTGTGTATGACCTCTAGCTATATGTTACGCAAGGTTGGTTATGACACGGGATGGTGAAAGCCGTACGGAATTTGTTTTATCGATTTAACCCTAGCTTCATATGACAACCGGCTGTTTAGTTTAGGCGTTCTTGGCAATGTGTAGACAGCTTCGACGCATACATACCCAGTAAGACAGACGCGACGCATCCGGAAAAGCGTTATATACTCCACTTCCTCCGCAGGGGATCTGGTTTTCACTTCCGTTGCTTTCCGATCAGTCGCTTTTTGTTTGTTTTATGCCATTTGATTTCCCGCTCTCTTTCTCAGTTTTTATTACCATTACGATGCGCGCAAAGTCAGCTTGGTCCACTGCGCTTCAGTGTTCGAATCGTTGTAGAATAACCAAACCGAACGGAATTCCCCTTGCTGAGTCACACACTTTGCCACCGGAGGTCGGTGCTTCTTATGTCACTCATGTGTACGTGGTTGCCTCAAGTGCAACGCATACAGCATTTTATCGTCTTATTATTTCTACTCTACTTAGTACGGCTTGATCAAGCTTTCTAAGACAGCTCAATGCAATTTCGATGTCATATTATCAGTTTGTCACTTTTGCACCCCTCACGTCTCCTTTGCCTTGGTAGGTTGATCTTGTGTATCCTTTTCTTTTCAGCTTGCTGTTGAAGAGGATTCCAACTGGGATTCAGTACCGACCAGATTGTAAGTGGAGTACCTCTATACACCGCCCGCTAGTCCAAGATTAGGGGATCTGGTTAGGCTCAGTTGTAATTGGGAATTCGTCACCATTTTTTGTAATCTTGAGTTTAATTGCATCGTTTACGTCCTTTTTTATTACCAATGAGCAGAAGGAATTTTTACTTGTAATGTTTTCGTCCCAGCCGCTCACAAGCTACATAGCACAGCCTAGCCCGGAAAAGCACCAGTCGCATTTCGCCCTATTGGGGCTCCTCAGTGGTTCACATTCCATCGGGCCCCTACAAGGGGTCGAACCCATGACAGCTAGAACCAGATGCTAACTAGCCAGCAGCTTAAACCACTGAGCCATGGGGGACCTCGGGTAGGCTACACAATTTGCAGTCTAACTGGGATATAGCACAACCTATCTTCCACGCCCCAATAGGGCGAAAAGCGTCTGGTACTTTTCCGGGCTAGGCTGTACTATGTAACTTGTGCACGGTTGGGACGAAAACATTACAATTACAATTAAAAAACCCTCCCGCTCATTAGTAATATAAAATATAACCTCTCCTAGTTTCAAATGCTGTGGACGTAGCGTCTAGTGAGAAGTCATGATCTTCAGAAACTAATCACTGTCATCTGTAGTAACCTACTTGACAATGGAAGATAGATCGTGCTATATCCCAGTTAACTTACAAATTGTGTAGCCTACCCGACGTTTCCCATGGCTCAGTGACTTAAGCTGCTGGCATCTGGCTCTAGCGGTCATGGGTTCGATCCCCCGTAGGGGACCGAGGGAATGCGCATCATTGACGAGTCCCAATAGGGCGAAACGCGTCTGGTGCTTTTCTGGGCTAGGCTGTGTTATGTAGCTTGTGCGCAAGAGGGACGAAAACATTACAGTTACCTCTCTTTTCTTAGGGGTGACATTTTTCTGACTCGCTTGGTGTGTTGCGACGATGAGTGACTGGCATGTTGACTTTAGTTAGCATGTTCTGTCGCACGCCTGACGTTGTCCTTTCGTTCAGGTGATTTGCTACGAGTCGAAACGAAATAGGGACCTTAAAGGTCATCAGACCAATCTATGTAGACTTGTCAGTACTTGCACTGACCAACTGAAACTTGAGTAACTACTCTCGAAAGAGGTCTTCCCACCTCAGACACATCAGTACCTTCAGAATGTGGGTTCATAATCCGTGACCTGTTAACACGCTATCATTATCACTATGTGTTAATTAAAGATGCGAAACACCTAAGTCATTGTACCAAGCCAAAAAAGAGATATGATATGAAAAAGCGGGACACTCATCATTACTGCGTCGGCCGGTAGCCAAGTGGTCGGCACGCCTGCCTTGCAATCATAAGATCACCGGTTGGAATCCGCGTAGGGGCGGGTTTCCTCCCGGCATACTCAGCGTGACTGGTAGTGACCGCGCGGTAGCGAAACGCCGTTACGACATACAGCTGTCACGTTATTTACATCATTACAGAATTTAGAGTAAAACCCAAAACAAGTACTATGCTGCTCAACATCAAGTTATACCTCGATTGTGAGACCGCGGTTGGAGTGGAAAGTTAGGGCGCTGGTGGAGCAAGGACAGAATAGCTCACGATACGAATGCTGTTGAGGTTTGCTCTTCGCCATTTCAAAAGTGTATCCAACCGAACGTGCTCATCATCTTTTTGACTCCAGCCTGGCAGTCGGGTGGGGGGCAACGCCCGACTTCACTTTAGAAGTGAGGCACTTCATTCCTCTTGAGCAAGGCATCAGTTGACCTCCCCTCCTTCCCACACCCCGGTTGCGCAAACAACTACGTCGCAGGAGTCGTGACGCTAACATGCGCAACACGTAGCTCAACCATCGGATCCTGGTTCGTGATTTAACGGTTCTGTGCGGTTCACTCGCCCTTCCTGCACCAAATGTGCGGCGCTGAACACGTTTATTGCTCACACAGTGTTCCCACCAGACATGAGATGGGTTACTTTACTTTACTGTGGCTAGCTCCTGCGACAGTATGAGCTGGCTTCATGTATGTCGTGGATTGCATCTGCCAAAGCGCGGTGGTCGGCGGCAAGCTCCACGCAGATACTGCTTCAATAATTGTTCCGTTGACGAGCACCATACACAACCTGGAGTCCTAGAAGATCGACATATGATTTCACTGCAGTGTGGCACGTTTTCAGTTGTCCACCTCGGGAACGATGCCAACACTGACGAAACGAGGGCGAAACCACGTCCCTACTGAAGTCAGTGTCTGGTCTGCGGAGGACTATGATGGTGGCTGAAATCTGGGGCGAAGGGAATCGTCTGGCTCAGTGTGGTCGATCAAGCGATCGATCGAGTGAGTTTTTAAAAGCACAGCTAATTATAGATGACCTCATAATTGTGAATATGACGCTTATGTGCTGAGCCGGTGTGTCTTCTTTCTCTTTACGCGGTTGAGCGACCCAAGCACACAACTTGGTGTCAGAGGCATGACTCGAACCCACACCCGTATACATGGATCAAAATGCTAAGACAGAAGAAGTACTATAATCGTGGATCGGGACGCCTACCCTCCTTACCTGTAGGAGAAGGAGTATGGGTGCAACCAGTACCAGATTTGGACGTGCATTGGCAGAAGGGAGTCATTGGGGACCGCAGTGGTGAAAGGAGCTACCAAGTCAGGATAGGGAGCAATCTCATTGGACGGAACTTATTACAACAACATTCTAAAGAAAGAAAAGGGTAATGATGTGATGGTGGCTGAAACCTGGGGCGAAGGGAATCGTCTGCTTCCGTGAGGTCCATCAGGCGCTCGATCGACTCGGCGAGTGTGTTCTTAAAGTACCACTAATTGTAGATGACCTCAAAATTCTGAATAGAACGCCTGTGTGCTGAGCCGATGTGCTTTCTTTCTCTTTACGAGGTTGGCACACCCAGGTACGCAACAAGGTCATGACTAAACCACTGAAGTCTATGGTGTTGGAGGAGCACTGAGAGCTTTGGAAGACCGTAACAACGCTTAAGAATTTTGTCATTGGTGATACGCTCATACCACTGGGTTTTCAACATGAGCCTTAGACACCAATGGTCGAAGACTTTCAGCTTTCTGGTGTCTTCGGATCGCAGCAGACATGTCTCGCAACCATAGAGTAAATTGGCACGAATGGTTGCTGAGAATACTCGGGTTTTCGTTCTCAAATTTATTCCAGTCCTTCGCCACAACGAGTTTCTTAGTTGGAAGAAGGCTGTTCTGGCGCTGTCAGTACGATTCCGAATTTGGGATATAGTCTGACCATTGGGGAGAATAGTGGATCCAAGATACTTGAATTCAGGAACAGACTCGATGAGTTGTCCATGTAAGGAGAGCGACGGGGCGGACTGGGTGGCTGACGATGAGAAGTACTTCGTCTTGCTGATGTTAATTTCGGGGCCGATTTAGCAAAGACTGTAGTGACATAGAATCTTCTACAAGGGTAGCGATATCATCAGCAAACTCTAGGTCGGACAGCCAGAAGTCAGGGCTAGCTGTAAAACCACTATAGCCCTCAAGGGCATGATGCATAACCCATTGGACCGCGAAGTTGAATTGCACTGTAGAAAGTGGGCAACCCTGCCGGACTCCAGTATTGATGTCGAATTCATTTGTGTCTTCTTCATATACCCGAATCCGGGCCTTCGTGCAATAGTAGTGTGTTCTCATCAACTTGCCGTGTTTAACCGGCACGCCATCGGCAGATAGGGTTTTCCAAAGTGCGTCACGGCCAACTGAATACAAGGCAGCTCGAAAATCAACGTAGCGAATAAACATGGGCTGCTGGTACTTGTCTCGGTGTTTCAGTACCCTACGTAGAGTGAAGATTTAGTCAGTGCATCCTCTGACTGGATGAAAGCCACCCTGGTTATGGCGAGTTCGCAGTTTCTTCACATTGGCGAAGCTGAAAAGCAAGATTCGTGCAAAGGTTTTGGCAGCCACATCGATTAGGCTTGTCCCGCGATAATTACTGCACACAGTTCGGTCACCTTTCTTGGGAAATGGCAGTACTACTGAGGTACTCTACGAGAAATGACAGATTTTGGTCTATCAAATCGAGCAGGAAAGCTCGTGCAAATGGTCAAGTAGGGCTGGTAAACAAGGCTTGTATATTTCAGCTGGAATCCCGTCTTCTCCAGGTGCTTTCTTTGGCTTCAGACGACGAACAATAGGACAGGACAGGACAGGATCCAGAGAGAAAATACGCTTTCGCTTAATCTGCGTCCCGTTTCATGTGCCAGTAAGCGAGAACAGCTCCCAGCACTTCGACGTGATAATAGATTCTTGCGTTTATACTAGAAAAGAAAAAGTAAGAGCAAAATTGCTACTGCATTTTCATGTATTTGCATGGCTACTTGCCTGTGGTTAGAGGCTGATATGAGTGTTCACAAGAATTCGAGGAACATAGCCAACCATATTTCGTCCAGGTCTCGCTTGAAGTCCTTTAACGTCTTACATCCCAATGATGTAGAACAAAGTTTATTCTAACTAACCATTACGCGATTTTGGAAGAATTTAGCCGTTATGTCGGGCCTAGATCTCTGCTGTTTCAGCTTTAGGCTATGGCCTTGCAAATGGTCCGACGCAGCTGGTTTAACAAGATAGGTTGGCCTAATACCGCTGAAACCCTTCATATTCTTAAATGTCTCTATTAAGTTCCCTGTTAATCTGCGTCTCCTCATTGTGTACCATTTTTAGTTGGTTAACTGAACCTCATGCGTGAACCCCCCGTCTTTTATCTTTCGCGTGGCTAGTCTTTGCATTTTCTCAATACCATTTACGTCCTTCTGCAAGAAGAACACCCAGGTCTGAACACAGTATAACAAATGTGATCTGACCTCCACTTTATATAAGAGAAGCAAAACCTCTGGCTTGGTACAACTCAAGATCACGTGCTCCGATAGCACAATACATTTTCAGTGAGCCAACAGGTGCTTGCAGTATCACATTTCCGCCACTCTGAGTCAAGATATGACATTTGTTGGCGTTTAAAAGCAGATCCCA